GCTCTTTCTCCTTCCTTCCATGCATCCATCCATCCTCCCCTCCCTCCCTCCTTCCTTTTCTTCCTTCCTTTCCTCCTTGCTTCCTTCCTTTCTTCCTGACCCTTTCCCGACCTAAAGATACTTTCACCTGTCTTACCACAGATATTGATATCCCCCAGTAATAACTCACTTCTATATTTGAAGACATAAAACATCACCAACTCCAACCTTAGGAGGAAGCTGCCCTGATTCTCCCCTTTCCTCCCACTTCACTTAATAATACCAGTGCATTCTCCAACTAAGAGCACAGGGCCTGACTAAAAGAGGCCTGTTTCCTTACATCCTTAGAAATGCAAAAGGAGAAACCTTCGATTAAAAGTTGCTTGTATTTTTTATTCTATAACTGTACTAAAGACAGTCGGAAGGCATTCTTTTTCTCTTTCTTACTTTTTTTTCCTGCTCTGCACTTTTGTTCTTTTCCTTTTCCTTTTCAAATTTCCCTGTTCTATTTGTTTACCTTTCATGTTTGTAAACAAATTGTTTTTGCAAAATTAATAACATTATTTTTAAAAAAATTACAAAAGAAGGGAGGTGAATCACCCACATCTGGAGAAACTAAATGCCTGAATCATCCCAAATGCACCCCAGAAATTTAAGACAGGGCAGCATTAAGCAAAGAAGATTTCTCCTTCTCCTCCTTTAAAACCTTCAAGATGTTTGAAATTGAAAATAAGAAGTGCCCCAGCTGGAATGATATAATGATACAACGGTTTATAATACCATTTATTTCCTTTCCTTTCTCCATCTTAAAACTCCCGTCTTTGGTAATACATCCATTTCTCTCCCTCTCTCTCCTACTCTCCCTCCCTCCTCTCTCTTTCTGTCTTTCTGTCTTTTTTCTTTCTTTTTCATCTTTCTCTCACTCCTTTTCTCTCTCCCACCCACCCCCCATTTTTATTCTGCAAAGACTATAAATAGGTGTTTCCTCCCCCTGAAGCCTACATAAAATTGTTGCCTGCAACTATTATTTTTTTTTGTAAATTTTATTTGAGTTTTCACAAAAAGAAAAGAAACACAATTAAAACATCTTTTTTGATGTTAGCCTGCAGCTATTAAGGTTCCTCCTTGCAATGGAGGGATGAGGTGATGCTGCTCCTGAGCCAACCAGCCACACCATCATCTGACTCAAGCCATGATTTAAAGTCAGGTCAACCTGACCTCTTCCTGTTCCTTTGTGGCAGGTTACTCCTTGCTCTGGAAGGGCCGCAAAGGACCCCATAAATGCCTGTCCCCCCACTGCAGGCCCACTAGCAGGGTGGGGGCATGAGAAGTTCAACACCATCAAATCAGCCAGCATTAATTTGACTCCAAGTATTTGCCTGGCCCCTTCAATCACCTGGACAGAAGAGGCCATTTCCACCCCTTTGGCATAATTAAGTTTTGTACCGCACAGAATCCTGGAGAGATAAGTCCATGCTGCACTTGGCATTTGGCTGGGAGGCCTTTAGCATGGCAGTTGGGCTGCCTGGGAGAGGTCGTCTTCTTCTCTTCTTTGATCATGGGAGGTTCCACCTTCACTCTCCTCCTAGCCCGTTTTGCAGCTCAATGTATTGGTTCGATTGCTGCTGACTTAGATCAGCTCTTATATCAATGTGGCCATGTTGTCCGGTCCTGTATTTATCCAAATAGATCACGCATTTATAAACACAGACTGAGTTGTTTCCCATCTTCTCCACAGAGGGTTGAACACTTGATGTGCTAGCCTGTCATCTTGGAGTGCCCAATTTCACCACCACCCTCACCAGAACAAATTGCTGATCAAAAAGAATTTGCCAGGGTTTCGTTTTCCTTCCTGCAAATAAATGCCAGCACCCCAAGATTAAGCACATGTTAACACCGATTGGGAGGAAAAAAAATAAGGAATAGTTTTTGTTACCTGCAATATTTTAGGGTTCACCTTCTACTTTCTAGCTCCTGAACCATCGCAGTAGAAGTCAACAAAAAGGAGGCACAAGAAGGATTTGGTTCTAGAGTGTAGAGAAATGTTCATCTGGAAAAGTCTGTTTCTTAGATTTTACTCTACGAATACTATAATTTATCCTGGCATGTAATGCCTGACCCAAGCATTGCAATGTTAAGTTTATCTCTGCTTCCTTCAGGTTTTGCGATCCATTGAAAAACTCTAGAGGAGGCTCAAAATGCCAAACCAAGAGAAGGAAAATGGCGCCCAAAGTCAAGATGAGATGGTGAGTGATAGAAAGAGGCCAGTGGTGGGATTCAAAAGTTTTTACTACCGGTTCTGTGGGTGTGGCTTGGTGGGCGTGGCAGGGGAAGGATACTGCAAAATCTCCAGTCAGAGGGGATATTTACCGGTTCTCCGAACTACTCAAAATTTCCGCTACCGGTTCTCTAGAACTGGTCAGAACCTGCTGAATGCCACCTCTGAAAAAGGCATCAGAATGGAAGTTGCATTTGGAAAGGGAGCAATTTCCATTGGGGTGAAGAAGAGCTTAGATCAAGAATGTCCAACCTTGGCAACTTCAAGACTTGTGAACTTCATCTCCCAGAGTTCTCCAGCCAGCATTCTCGGAGTTGAAGTCCACATGTCTTAAAGTTGCCAAGGTTGGACAACCCTGGTTTAGAGAAACAGATATCACAGTGTTCCTCTTCATGGTCGAAATGAGTAAAGTTGCCTTCAAAAATTGAACAATTCACTTATCCGTGGAAAACAAATTAGTATGAAGTGCTCAAGGAGAAGGATAATCAATTAAGATTAAGATTATGGCTGTACTGAACAATTCTATATAGACGTTTACCTAGAAATCAACTGATATCCCCCTCTCCACACCCACCCACCCAAAAAAGGCAAATGATGGGAAAGAAGGCAGCCAAGACTTTTAGATCATCAACCGTAAAGTTCCAAGGTCAAAGTCAAAGGATGTGGGTTCTTTCTGCATTGAAAAAAATGCTCAGAATATCCCTTCTTCACAAGTCCTCTTGAAGCCTAAATGTTTTAGCTTCAGCCGCCCCCTTCTCCTTTCACCTTCCATCTTCCTCAACACCAGGGTCTTCTCCAAGGAGTCCTCTCTTCTGAAGTATTTGAGCTTCAGCTTCAGGATCGATCCTTCCAAAGTGTACTCAGAGTGGATTTATTTTAGGATTGACTGATTGGATCTCCTTGAAGTCCAAGGGACTCTCAAAAGTCTTCTCCAATGCAAGGGTTTATTATCTGTAGCAAATGACACCTTCTATGCAATTTCCCAACCTATAATAATATTGTGGTAGAAGGAGCTCGAAAGAAAGTGTGTCGTAGGTTAGAACATCAAGGCAGAAGTTCAACTACAAAAAAATAGTTTTGTAAAACAAAATATCATGGGGATTAAATTACTAATGGCTTGGACTCTTCTTCATTAGGTACTGCCCAAGCTGCCGGTTCCCTCCCTCCAGCAAACATTAAATAGGTACCTTCAGTGCATGAAACACTTGGTGACTGAAGAACAATATAAGACAACCAAGACTCTTGTGGAGAAGTTTGGAGCTCCAGGAGGCCAGGGAGAATTCCTTCAGAAGAAGCTTCTTGAAAGACATGAACAAATGGATAATTGGGTAAGTCTTCTGCCCTTCAACTTCAAATATGTTTATCATAAAGCATGTGAAAAGGGCTAGAATCACCCTGGGGTTTCTCCTTTATTCTCTCCTCCAAGGAATTGGTTGAGATGCTCTGATATCACAGAGGCCTTATTAGTACAGACAAATGTTTATTTACAGACTTCCTTTTTGGAAGACAATGGGAGATTAATGTGGGAGAGAAGAATTACTGTAGACCTGTAGTCATCGAAGAACATTAATATTAAAATCAACTCCCAGTTTCATTAAAGCACCACGTTAGAAAGCAAGAGACAGGGAGTTCTTGTCCCATGATGGTGGGACTAGTTAACCGGGGCGGGGGGACTTCTAGTTAACCATGAAAGCCAGAAGGATGACTTTGACCGATTATTCCCTCTTGGCCCAACCCATCTCATAAGGTGGTGGTTGTGGGAAAATAGGAAGAGGAAAGTGTGCTGGAAATGTTCACCCTGTTGAGTTATTTATGAAAATAATTAAGGCAGGACACAAATAAATTTTAAAAAATAGAAAGACAAAAGCACTTATGGTAAAAGACAATGTACCCACCCACACCTCCCCCCTCTCTCTCCCTCTCTCTCCCTCCCTCCCTGCCCCCCCCCCCTTTCTCTCTCTCTCTCTCTCTCTTAGGTACTGCAATACTGGCTAGATGACATGTATCTTAAAAACCGATCAGCTCTTCCCATCAATTCTAGCCCAGGAATTATCTTTGCTTGCCAACAGTTCCAAGAAGCAGATGATCAACTGAGGTAAAGTACCTGAAGACTCACCGAAGGCTACAAAAATTCTGTTCCAGCTACATCCGTAGCATTTTATGGCCAACAGCTGTCCAAATGATGCACAGGAAAGTCATGTGTGTGTGTGTGTGTGTGTGTGTGTGTGTGTGATTGAAGCTGCTGTCTCCCTATATATACTGGTGGGGAGATTGGCTGTGTTGTCATTTCTTGATTGGTTGATGGAGTTTATGTTTGCAGATTGGCTGGCTTTTTCGTAAGAACATGTGTGGCTGAGGTATTGGCTGTGTGTCTATCAGCCTCCTGTGTTGTAACGACCTGGGTAATGGGCTGTGTGATGACCTTCTGAGTTCTATTGTTTTGACATCCTGGGTCTTGTGCTGTAATCTTCTGGGTCGTTGGTTGTGTTGCAACATCCTGAGGTTTTGTGGTGTAACTTCCTGAGTTCTGTGATGTGATATCCTGAGCAGGTGGCTGTGATGTGACGTTCCAGGTTTTGGTTTGGCTCCGAGTTTGAGGCCTGGATATGTGTTCATGGCATGTGTCCATTTGCTTGGTTTGGGGGTCAGGGTGTGTGGCAGCTGATGATGCAGCCGTGGTCTGGTTTCTGGATGGTGGTTGTCTTTCGTCTATGGGATGGGTTTGGGTTTGAGTCTGGTGAGGGAGAATGGTGGTGGTGTCATGTGTTGTTTTGGGTCCAATGTTGGGTTTCATGGCTGGGACTTGTTTGTTGGTGAGGGCTAGTTTCCAGATGTCTGGTAGGTGGGAAGCATCATCCTGTTTATTCATGTTATGGGGTGTTTCTCTATTTCGATGGCTTCCCTGATTATTCTCTTGTTGAAGTGTTCAGTATTGGAGATTAATTTGGTTCCCTCAAAATTAATTTCATGTCCTGTGGCTTTAAGGTGCTGGAAAAGGGAGGAAGTCTTTTCTTCTTTTCTGACTGAGTTCTTGTGTTCTGCGGTGCGTGCATTTATTCTCCTGTTGGTTTGTCCAATGTATGTGGCTGGGCAATTGTTACATGTCATAAACTCCTTGGTTTTCTAGCTGGATCTTGTCTTTGAGGTTTCTTAGGATATTGGCTATTTTTTGGTCAGTGCCGAAGGCTGTCCTGATATTGTGTTTGTGGAGAATTTTGCTGATTTTATCTGTGGTGCCTTTGATGTAGGGGAGGAGGGCGATACCATTGTCTTATTCTGTGTCTTGGTTTTTTTGGGGGGTATCTCTCTTCGGATTAGGTTGGTAATAGTGTTTCTTTGGAATCCATTGGAAATTAATATGTTTGTGAGGGTGTGTAATTCTGTTCTCAGGTGGTGATGGGATTGTGCATTTAAGTAGCGGTTGGTGTGTGTTTTCTTCCAGTGGATGGTGTGTCCTAGGGAGCCATTGGAACGCTAACCCTAACCCTAACTCTGCACAGATCAACTCCATAGCCAAGACCCTCATCTCCAGAACCAAATGCCTAGCCAACAAAGACCACCTGAGAACAGAGAGTTTGAGATTGAGAGAGAGAATATGTACTGTGTTTACAACACAGGGGATATATATATTGTGTTGTATATACTGTATATATGTTGAATATACAGGCATATATTTTATGAACACAGGCTGTGTTTACCACATGGTCCTTCCAGCAGCCCCAAGAAGGCTTCACACCCATTTGCACTATTCAGGAGACCCTGGGGGCACAGATAAACCTCCAAGTGGCCTCAACAACTCTCAGAAAGAGAGCTAATGACCAGATGACTGCAAGGAATATAAATCCTTCCATCCTCCACCATTCAGTCAGAACCATTAAAAGGGGGTTCATCCCAAATTGTATAGCAAAAGTCTGTAGATTCTCTATCACCCAGGTCATGGTTGTCCCAAGCTTTTTTCTTAGGAGGCAACTGGAGTTTCTTTATTTTTCTTTTGAAGACATTTTGCTTCTTATCCAAGAAGCTTCTTCACCTCTGGCTGGATGGTGGGGAATGGAAGGATTTATACTCCTTGCAGACAGGTTTATCTGTGCCCTCAGGGTCAAATGCAAATGACCAGCTGTCTGCAAAGAAGATAAATCCCTCCGTTCCCCACCATCCGGTCAGAGCTGAAGAAGCATCTTGGATGAGAAGCACAAAAGAAAAACCAAGAAAGTCCAATTGCCTCCTGAGAAAAAAAGCACCTTTGGGGCAACCAGGACCTTGGGTGATGGAGAATCTCCACAGACAGAGAGAATATCACATCATTCTGTTCCAATCGCTGACTCAGGAATTGATTTCAATCAAAATGAACGCCTTCATTCATGGGACACCAGCTCCTTCGTCTTGCTGCCTGACCTCAACCTGTCAGTTAAGCAACCTCTTTTTAATGTCAGCTCAGCTACAGCTCAACCAGATTCCGGCATTCCTGCCCCGCTGGATTTAAAAAGAGTGAACCATGTTAGGATTGCACTTTGTGTTGCTTTAAATAAGCCTGCGTTGAAAATGAAAACAGCCTTTTCTGCCTTCACCCTGTTTTGGTTATTTTTCATATTCACTAGATAATTTATATCCCACCCTTCTGATTCATTTTACATTGTCTGGAGAGATTAATCACAAGCAACATCATAAAATCACAATGACACATAAACTAAAAGCAATAAAAATAGATAAACTACAGACAGCTCCAGCAGATAAAAAGAACAAAAATGAGTAGTTGTTATATGTATTAGTGTGTAAGTATATAAACACAGACACACACACTGCCCTGCTTGTTGGAACAGATAAACAAATATCAAAAACAGAGATACTATGGTATTTTCCACTAATGTTATAATATTCCAATCAATTAAAATATATACAAATCCTTCCAAGTGACTGGGTTGTTCTCAAAGAGTGTGGATTAACTGTAATTGTCTTTGATCATGTAGAAACCAGAGGCTAAGGATCACATTTTTAAAGAAAAGCATACAGGTGCACTGACTCCAGCCTCAGTCCACTCCTTGTGAAAGTCCCCAACACTTTTGAACGGCCTTTTCCTGACAATCCTCTCCAGGCTGCGGTCATCCCTGCTGCTTGTGCACCTTTTTCTTCCACACTTTTCCCTTCCACATAACTTTCTATTAATATGCTTTGATACAGCACTTTGGGAACATCCAACTTCTTTTGCAATTACCTTTTGAGGCTTTCCCTCCTTATGGAGGGTGTCAATGATGGTTTTCTGCACAACTGTCAGGTCAGCAGTCTTTCCCATGATTGTGATTCCTACTGAACCAGACTGAGAGACCATTTAAAGGCTCAGGAACCCTTTGCAGGTGTTATGGCTTAATTAGCTGATTAGAGTGGGACACTTTGAGCCTAGAATATTGAACCTTTTCACAATATTCTAATTTTCTGAGATTGTGGATTTGAGGTTTTCATGAGCTGTAAGCCATAATCATCTCAGTTATGACAAATCACGGCTTGAACTATCTTGTTTTGCATGTCATGAGTCTATCTCATATATTAGGTTCACCTTTTAAGTTGCATTACTGAAATAAATGAACTTTTGCACGATATTCTAATTTTTCGAGTTTCACCTGTATGCGTTGTATCTGCCTTTACCTATAGATTTGCAAATTAAATTGACTTGGGAAGATAAATTGGACTGGAAATTGCTTCTGCTACTTATGGCATATTGCCCCTCCCCCCAATGAACAGTCTCCTTAGGGCCTCCTATCTACGAAAGGTCCATTTCTGTCTTGCTCTAGTGATGCTACTGCCAGACAGTATTGAAGACTTGATCAAACTGCAATGCCTGAGCAACTAAAACACTTTGGATTATAGCTCGCTCAGAATTTTGGACATAAAATAGAGGTACTTTGGTGAATGGTTGGGATTTTCAGCTAGCCATTTTTAAAACCTGAAGTGGGATCAGTATGAAGCACTAATGGAAAAGATGATTATTTTAATATGAAACAAATGGTTTCTAAACATTTTCATATATTATGAGTATCATTACGGGCAATTTGGATGAACGAATAATTTAGATAGAGTCTTCAAATGTGTACTAGCAAAACTAGGGCTAATTTTGCATGCTTTGATATTCTGAAATTACCATCTCTAAATCCAAATTCTTATATTTAAAGACTGCCAATCCAAGGATTAAGATATATTCCCATGATTTTTGAACAAAATTAAGTATTCTTTAACAGGGTGATGCTGATGGAGTTAAAGTGGAAACCAAAATAATTATCCAGAAATAAGTCCAATTGCTTACTTCCAAGATAAATATAATAAGCATTGCAATCTTAATATTATAAATTAAGCAACATGGTGCAATATATAGAAGTAACATAAGAAGCTATTTTATAACTGATCTAACCAGATCAATATTAGGCCTCAGGGTTATTGACATATTTGAAAGGCAACAAGTTGAAGAAAAGATCTTTCCTTGTTTCTTGGGATCTTCAGACAGGATTTCCTCTCAGATCTATCATATGTGTGTATATCCATATATATATAGCTATATATCCATATATATATATATGGCAGTTAGCTGCTATATCTTATCCTATCCATGTAGCCAACTCAAATCAAGACAAAATTAAAGGAAACTTTTCATTTAAAAATTTCCAAAGCTCCTTCTTTTATTAAAAAAAATGTTATTAGATATATTTCTCCTTTTTATTTTATTATAACAAGCCCTCCCTGAATATAAGTTACTGGTCAAATTAAATAGCATTTTCTAAAGTACAGGGGCAACTTAAAAATATTGAAATTCTAATTAAATGCTTTGATCGAGATTATTCTGCTAATGTGATTATGTGCTCAATCTCGTTTTACTTTGAGTGCAATCAAAGAATTCCAGTGCTCGTGAAGTCTGAAAGCCTCATTTCTTCCTCAGTCTGTCACAGGGGCAACACAGTTCTACGTATAACTTCCATTTACATCTGAGCTGCACCTCAGACTCAGTTTTCCAATTAGCCCTCCCTGATTCCGATGGATGCTGGTTAAATCATCACATCATCTGCAAACGTTATTGGCATACACTGTAAAATGACAGAATGAATATACTGACTAGAAGCTCTTCTTTGGAATCTTTCAGAAATGTCTATCAATGCTGATTTGTCTACAGATATAAACTGAATAGCTTCATTGTGGCAGCTATTTTTTTCCTGCTTTGCATCTCTGTTATTTGCACAGATCCTGACACGGAAAAGGCCTCTTAGCCTACTGAAGCCCTATAGAGAAACCTTAAACAAGAGGAGGAAATAGAAAATATTGTTCAGACACAATCTTGACCAGATATGAATTGCAATAAGACCATTGGCTCACTTAGAAATTGTTCAGAGAAAAGCAGAGGATGCGTCCAAAATACCCAGTCTGGCCATTCCTGCACAGTCCCGTAAAGGATCAGTAGTTAAGGCTAGCCCAAATCAAAGGTGGGCTGAAACAAGCAACCCGTGATCCTCCCAAAGGGGCCTTTTTTTTTTCTACAGGCAACTGGACTTTCTGGTTTTTCCTTTTGAAGATGTTTCGCTTCTCCTCCAAGAAGCTTCTTCAGCTCTGACTGGATGGTGGGGAATGGCAGGATTTATAATCCTTGCAAACAGCTGGTCATTTGCATCCTTTGAGAGGGTCCTTGAGGCCACTTGGAGGTTTACCTGTGTCCTCATGTGTCATGGGACAACCATGACCTAGATGACTGAGAATCTCTACAGACTTTTAACCCACGATCCTGTTTGCCTGTCTTCAGGAAAAATAAGGAGAGATTAAAGGTATCCTTTTGTGGGAAGAGTTTGTGAGGGAAAGAGAGGATTGGGAACATTAAAATAGCCCTGTCCTGGTGCATTTTTGCTAAGGCCACAGGTAACTTCTGGCTGGCCAATCTCAAGGAGTAATCCAATTTGAATAGGCTCAAGAAACTGATTAAGCGACTTCCTTAACATATTGTTAAAATAATGGGTTTAGGTTCAGAAGACCTGGGTTTGAGTTCACACGTCACATCAGAGATCTAACCTACTTTGCAGGACAAATTAGCTGAGAACCTCATCCATTCCCTCTCAGAGGGGATTTAAAAATGGATGTAATAAGATCAATTAATACTGGTGGACAATCTATCAAGCTGCTCCTTGATTGTCAGCTGGCAAAGGACCACCATCATAATTCGATGATGATAATGATGATGATGATGATATAATTTCTTGCTGCAGAAATCCATGGTCCTTCTCTATTTTGACTTCTAGGTTTGCAGCCAATCTCATTTCTGGAATTCTGGATTATAAAGCTCTCCTGGACAGGTAAGCCATTTGCCTCTTATGAACAGAATCTCTTCTTAAGTGAGGGACAGAAGCCAAAGGGGGTTGAGGTGAGTTCACGCAGCAACCAAGTCACTCTCTCAAAGTAAACCATGTTTGGAGGAGAATTGTAGATGTAATTTAGATGTACTGTTTTTAGGGGCAAGTCCCATAAATTGTGGATGATTAACAAGATTACATCTGACTTCAGTCCCAGACTCTGGAACTGCCTGGAAAGAAAGTCTGAAGATCAGAAGATCTGAAAAGCACAAAAAGCCTTTCTATGCACAGTGTATTTTTGAGCAGGAGCAACGTTGCTACATGACCTACAATCCCAGGGGGAAGTGCATCCTCCCAAGGACTCACAAAATTTTAGATGCTTCTTTTTTGTTTTTAAAAGAGGATGGGGGAAATTATAGAAGAAACCATTGGAAGTATAATGACATTTCAGTTGAGTGGAAATGAAAGACCAATGAAAAGCAAAGGATGTTAATTTGCCCTTGTCTCCACCTGTTATTCCTGGAAGGATGGTTCCAGAGATGATGTTCAAAAACCCAAGTGTGGTCCTCTGCCCTGAAAAAGTTGCACACCCCAGAATTATAGTTTGGCATCAAAAGGCAACCATTTCCAGTTCCTTGTAGGAAGGATTTATGAAATCTTGATGTCATAACATTGAGTAGCATAACAAAACTAGACCTGCGTGGGATGGAATTTAAGATGTTGCTATGATCATTTGCCAAAGCAGAGAAGCATTGTATACTCATTCCATTGCAGGCCAGTGTGTCTTCATTAGCATTACTACACAAACTGTCAGTTGAACCTGGCTACATGTGTTCTGTTGAGTGATTTTATTTATTGATTGATTTGATTTGATTTGTTAATCGTTTACAGGCATAAGTATAAACATGAGTAAGCCTACAGGAAATAGGTACGAATAAATGGGAACAATAGGACAAGGACGGGAGGCATGATGGTGCACTTATGCACACCCCTTACAGACCTCTTAGGAATGGGGTGAGGTCAATAGTGGATAGTTTGAGGTTAAAGGAGTGAGGGTTAGAGGATCTAACAACAGAGTCAGGGAGTGCATTCCAGGCATTGACCACTCTGTTGCTGAAGTCATACTTTCGGCAATCAAGTTTGGAGTGATTTACATTGAGTTTGTATCTGTTGTGTGCTATTTCATTGTTGTGGTTGAAGCGGAAGTAGTCATTGACGGGTAGGACATTGTAGCAGATAATTTTGTGTACTACGCTTAAGTCCAACCGTAGATGGCGTAGTTCAAGCTTGTCCAAGCCCAAAATTTTGAGCCTGGTAGCATAAGGTATTCTATTGCGAGCAGAGGAGTGTAATACTCTACTCGTGAAATACTTCTGGACTCACTCAATTGTATTAATATCCGATATACAGTGCGGATTCCAGACTGATGAGCTGTATTCGAGTATTGGTCTAGCAAAAGTTTTGTATGCCCTAGTGAGCAATTCAATATTTCCAGAGGAGAAGCTTCATAAGATTAGATTTACAACTCTTAATGCCTTTTTGGCAATGCTGTTATAGTGAGCTCTGGCGCTTAGGTCATTTGATATGAGAACTCCAAGGTCCTTGACAGAGTGAGGGTTGTCAATGAGGTCATATCCACCTAGCTTGTATTTGGTGTACTGATTTTTTTTACTAATGTGAAGGACAGAGCATTTGTTGGTCGAGATTTGGAGTTGCCAATTGTTTGACCATTCAGACACATAGTCAAGGTCACTTTGAAGGACAGTAGCATTGTTGGTGGTGTTGAATAGTTTTGCATCATCCGCAAAGAGGATGCAGTTGCTTATAAAGTGATTGCAAAGGTCATTTATATAGAGTATAAAGAGTGTGGGTCCTAGAATGCTGCCTTGTGGGACACCGCCGTTAACTGGAGCAGGATTAGATATAGCGCTCCCTATTTTTACTATTTGTTGCCTGTTTGTTGTGTTAGATCACACTTTAGCTAAACAGTGCACTCACTTCCAACCCTGCTTCAGATCTGTTCAATAAATCTTCTTTAGTCCAGACTATGATATAGATTATTATCCAATTCAAAGCATTCCATTCAGATCATCAATCTAAGCAGAGTCAAAAATTTGACCAGAACTATTTGAAAATTGAATCATCTCCATTAAATAGGATTTGATGTGATTTGAAAAATTGGATTAGGTTTATTTAATTTGTTGAAACAATCTGGGCAGAAAAACAGCTTTTATGTGTGCTCAAAATCCTTTTAAATTGTTGAATTTATTCAAATGCATCCTGAGTGATTCAACAGTGGGACTCAACAATTGATTTGAAATATTCAGAGATTCTATCAACTATTCTAATTGAAACACTAAAAAAACCCTCTCTATTCCAGAGGAAGCAGTGGTATATTTTGTCGAACAATTCATCAGTTCTCCTGTTTCCACCTAGTTTAGCACAATGTCTTTTACAAGTGTCTCCAGAGAACATTACAAAACATTATAATTATTAATTTTTCTACTGTCCTTAGAATGAGATATTAATATGATACCATTGTTGTATTTTAGCATCTCAAGCGTCTCCCAAATTGTAGACCATTAGACATCCCATTGGCTGAGCAATTTTGCCTGCCCTGTAGAAAGGACTAAGTCCATCTAAGATCTTCTTTGTCTTACCACAAAAAAATAAATAAATCTCAACCCTCTCTGGCAGAAGGATCTCTGCTGTGCACGGCGGCCCACTCGTGTTTTTCAGTCAGAGATTTCAAAGTCCAGCAGAGCATCAGAAGACAGGAAGAAGCAGACATCTTTGGTCCTTATTGTTGACTGTTACTGTGCTTTCTCCAATGCTCATTCATGAATGGTAATATGGTTGGAATGCGGTTTTTGTGGACTTTAAGAATGATGGCTTTTCAGCTTTGGCATCCATCTACCGATGCTTTCTTTTTATCTATCACGAGTCTAGTTGATTTGATACGATTTCTTTCCTTTCTACCCTCACACACACACACACACACACACACTGTGATTTGTCTCTTGTTCTGTTCCTCTAGCCACACACTTCCTGTGGATTTTGCTCGTGGACAACTGTCCGGTCACCCTCTTTGTATGAAGCAATACTACGGACTCTTCTCTTCTTATCGTCTTCCGGGATATACCAAGGACACATTAGTGTCCCAGAAAAGCAATATCATGCCTGAACCAGATCATATCATTGTTGCTTGTAACAATCAGGTGAGAGCATCTGAACCCCACATCATCATCATCATCATCATTATTATTATTATTATTATTATTATTATTATTATTATTATTATTATTATTATTATTATTATTATTATTATTAATTATTATTATTATTATTAAATCTACTCCTCACCCACTTCCTTGAATTGATCGAGAATGTATACAAATTCAGGTTATGGGAGTTTTGCCTAGTCTGGGTGATCATTAGATGTGTGACCTTCAGGTTCCAGAATTCACCAATCAATGCAGCCAATGCTGAGAATTAAAGTCTATAGATCTGGAATTTTTTTTAAAAAAATGCCTGAAAACAGGAAGAACAGGTTGAGAAGAAATAAAAAAGGAAGTGAAAAGTTTGTTCCGAATGAATGCCTCCTTCTTCTCAGTTGACTTTTTGCCATCAAATTAGAACTGAAGATACTCTTGGTGATTGGAGTCACAATTTATTCTCAAGGACCTGAGGATCTCACAGTTTGAAACTGAGGTTGGCAGATTTTCTGTGTGTTTCCTCTTTTTCCAGAGAAAGCTTCACTTTTCTTTTTTTAAGTTAGTAATATTTAATTGTATTTACCAACCAACTTTTCTCAAAGAGATTGAGACAGGGTACACAAGGAAAATACATTAACAGGTGTATCTCCACAACTACACCCCTACAAGGTAGAATTTATTGTGGTAAAGTAACTAACCCAATCACCCAATGAGTCTGTGATCTAGTGAAGATTTCTGTCTGGGTCTCCTAATTCCAATTCCCCTAAACATTGGATTATTTTACCAGCTGTTTTAAACTTCTACTCTAGTTGTTCTGTTATCCACCAAAACAAAGGGAAACAGCACTGGCGATTTTTGACAAGTTATAATCGAAATTAGTGGAACCAAACAACACTGTAGGATTTTTTTAAAAGGGATCCAAAATTATCTATTTCTACTCTATATTATGACTAGCTGATTATTTACTGGTGAATCCACATCTCAGAAGCATCAAAATGGCAGCCGTGATCATGTGATGGGAGCCCCGCCCCTTTTTTATATGCACGACATTTACAAACATAAATAAAAAGCAGTGAAGATTTGTATGGTTGTAGCCCCCATCGTGGCTTTTCTTGAGCCCTCCCCCCCCCACCCCCACTGCTGCTAGTTGCTCTTCCTGCAAAACGATGTCTTGGAATGGAAAGTCTCGCCAGTCTAGCTGGCCGACGTGTGACACAAACACGCCGAGTTCCATTTTATTTTGGCCCCATCTGAATGTGCTTTGTTGACGCTCAGAGGCTGGTGGGGGGACAGAGACTGTTGATTGGGTCAAGCAACCAGGCCAAGCAGGAAGGCATCATGAAGGGCCCCCAGGAGGACATCAGCGAGGGGAGAATGGCCTCCAGGCACCAGCGGTCACCCTCCACCCAACCCCAGTTCAAAGGTGAAAGTAGCTCCTCTTTTCACTCCTGATTCTTTCTCCGCAGTTTTTTGTTCTGGACGTGGTGATTAATTTCCGGCGTCTCAGCGAAGGAGACCTTTTCACCCAGTTACGGAAGATAGTGAAGATGTCAGAGAATGAGGAAGAGAGGCTGCCTCCCATTGGCCTCCTGACCTCGGATGGCAGGCTGGAGTGGGCCACGTCCCGGGTAATCCTCATGGAAGGTCAGTGAGAGCCCGACCTTGGAACCCCACCAACCCCGCCCTTCGGTTCTTTGGCAGAGTTGCCCTCAGCCGTCGTTATCTTCTTTCTGGCATTTTTCCATTCCCTTTTTCTTCTTCCCCTTGCCCTGAGGACTTCTTGCTCTGCCTTTTCCAATAAGTCCTTTTAAACTGTCTAGAAGTCTGGAAGTCCTACAAAATGACACTTCACATGGCATATTTTAATTCTAGACCCAGGTTAAAAGCATCCCCGGGTTTAATTTTGGGGACAATATCAAAACGGCTCAATTTCAAAGGAGCATGCCCACCTATTACTTCTTCTTTGTTAAGAAATATCCATCTAGGCCTCGTTCCCACATTACAAAAACTGAAATGAGGCTGTGCAAAGTCCTACCATTCTGTTGGCTCAGATGGTCCTCCTACCCAAGGAGACTCATCTCATTTCAGACAAGAGAGATCCCATCTAAAAAGACACTCCTTATTTTCATAAATTGCAATGCTCACCTTTCCTATTGTTACCAGAGGTAAAGAATTTGCACATGAAATTATGAGAGGTGGAAGAGGCTTCAAGGCTTCCTTAGGCAAAGATTAGATTACCAGGAGAAGAGAATTTTTGTAGCTCAGAATTGAACTGTGGAGTCCTTGGTCGTCTCTAAGTTTGGTGGTTTTCTTTCAGACATTGACCCAGTTGGGTAACCTCATCAGTGCTTGGGTGCAAACCCCATTCCCTTCTCACACTGATGATGTCACTTAGTTGGATAATGAAACGTCTGCAAGAAAACAACCAGGCTCAGAGAGCACCAAGGTCCCCCACAAACATTAGATTGTAGACTATCTACTGTCCAGTTTGAATGATTTGATTTCAGGTGTGCGTCTCATAAAATGCATACGACCACATGTCCACCTCCATCAAGTTACCAAAGAGATCTGGTGCTTTTCAAGTTCAGCAGATTAATTTGTAGAGGGGAGTCCATCTAATTGCTTTGAGAGCTCATCTCCTTCCAGCCTTGATGGGTAAAAACCCAAACGTTGTTCACTCTGAACTTCCACTGGCTTCATTCTGAAGTAATGAAAAGGCTCGCATTCTTAGACTTCTCAGAGAATGAATGTAGGAAGCAAAACAATTGCACCTCGGAGAGAAAAAACCAAGGAACAGCCTGCCATTATTCCCAGCCAATTGTTTTCTACTCTAGATTCTACAAACCGCGACTCCCTTGATATGATTGAACGAAGCCTGTGCTTGGTCTGCCTGGACAGTCCAGCCGGAGAAGAGCTGAGCGACACCAACCGGGCCTTGCAGCTCCTCCATGGGGGAGGCTATGCGAGAAACGGCGCCAATCGCTGGTACGATAAGTCCACGCAGGTGAGTCCCAGCAGCCAGCAGAGGGGAGCAGCAGCCACTGTATGCGCCGAAGCCTGGCTGAACCCAGGGAGGCAATGAAGGTCTTCTACAGGCAGTCCTTGACTTACAACGGGGGGGTTTGGTTACCCTTCGAAATCCCAAGGGCACTGGAAAAAGTGACTGACGACCTTTCCTCAGACTTATGACCAAACGTTCTTGACATGTGGATGCTGTGCCCCTGGTTCATATCCACGGTGATTGCAGGGCCCTGCGGGGGGGTGACGGGATCCCCTTTGGCAACCTTTTGATGAGCAAAGTCCATTGGGGGGAGCCAGATTCACTTAACAGCCATTTGACTCACTTAAAACTGCAGTGATCCACTGAACAACAGTGGCAGGAAAGGGCATAGGAAGAGGGGGCAAAATCCACATCACAAATTTCTCACTTAGCAACATAAACGTTGGGCTCAGTTGTGGCCAGACACCAAGGGCCCCCTGTGGCCTCACTTAAAGGCGGGGCTCTCAGAGCAAAGAGCTTCTTCCCCTGCAGGCTGAAGGGGCCATAAATGGACCGGGACCATCTGCGTGCAAACCCGCCTCCTGCCCTCTGCCTGCCTCCAGTCAAGCCCCCCTGGCAGCCGCTCTGGCACCCTCGGGCTGGCCTCCTCTTCTCAAGGCTGCCCCAGAGCCTCCCTTTTCTCCGCATGGCGGCCTGGTTCGGCTGGCTCAGACTTTGCCCAAACGTAGCCAGCCTTCATGGGAAGAGCAGAGCGCATGAGGAGAGAAAGAGAAGGGAGCACTGGCCCGTAGGCCGGCTTCTAGTACCTTCCACTTCATCCCTTGCTTTAAGTCCTCCAGCAATACATAATTGTGTGGACTGTTTTTCTCTCCCATCTTCACTTTCACATGGAATATCGGAATAACATCATTGGAAGGGACCTTAGAGGTCTTCCAGTCCAACCCCTGCTCAAATGAGAGCCCTGTACCCTTCTGTCCAAGTGGCTGTCCCAGCTCTTCTTAAAATCTTCCAGTTATTATAAACTTTCAGGGCCAACTTCCACAGGGAACTTCCATTCCACCGGTTGATTGTTTTCACTGTCAAGAAATTCCTCCTTCGTTCTAGGCTGCTTCTCTCCTGGATTGGTTTCCATCCATCGCTTCTCCTCCTGCCTTCAGCTGCTTTGGAAACTATAGGTTGGCCTCCCCCTCCCCTCTGGTAGGGCCTCCTGCTTGAGCCGGGGCTTCCACCTCTGTTACTCTGTGTGGAGGTGAAGATAAGAGAGAACGCTTGGAAAGGAGCAGAAAGTCTCCTTCCCTGTTGAATAGCTTCATAAACATCATTCACTCTGTTTTTTGAAAAAAAAAACACCAATGCCATTTTTATGCTTTTCTACTTCCTTTCAACTTTCTCTTACTTAGGTGCTTTCTGATATTTCATGTCATCCAAGTATGTTTAGATATTGTTACAATGGGGAGTTTAAAATTGTTTCTGGGATATTTGGCCAATATATAAAATGCATAAAACAAACCCAGCCTCCCTTTCTAATCCTGGCTGGTCTATTTCTCTAACTGGTATCTTAAAGGCCAAATGTACTGCATTCTTTTAAATTGAAGAGTTACTAAATCCACATTTCCCTTCTGCCTAAATTAATGTCCTTGCTCAGTTTGTTGTAGGACGAGATGGAATCTGTGGAACAGTGTGTGAACACTCTCCGTTTGACGGCATCATTCTGGTGCAGTGCATTGAACACTTGCTGAAGCACATGTAAGTTACCTTCAGCTGCTCTAAGAAACTGCCTGCTTTTTCACTTCAACAGATGTGTTGCATGTTTTCCAGTGACATTCAGACTTCAGCCATCACTTGAAGCCAACACCACTTAACTGAATGTCTTCCTATTATTTATTACGTCCTTTTGTAAGGCTCTGCAGAAATCTAGACATGATGGACACCTTCATACTTGGCCAAATCTTGGAAAGAAACACGTATTGATGGTGTTTTCTCTTAGAGAAAAGCAGTGTGATGGGATGAGAAATGTGCAAATTCTGTTGCACTTACTAGAAAAGCAGACAATCCCAAATTTAAGGCCATTGCCCCAAAGGAGAAATAGGGGATGGTGGGGGAGGAAGTTCTAGTTCAGGTTGGACTTAGCTCCTGGAGACTTCCTGGATGTAACCATTTTGGTATCTTTTGTCAGTGAACCAGATGAAAGGCCACCAGGGAATATGAGGGTTGTAAGATAGACTGAGAAGAAGAAAAAAATGAGACACCACAAAAGACAATCACTCTCATATTTTTGGTGGTGAGATTCATCCTGCAAAGACACCAGGAACCAAGCTCAACCTCTTATTTCAGACAGAAATAAAAATATTTCCTGTAATTTGCCAAACTCTGGTTTTTAATTTGCTAAAACTAGTTCTAGACTCAGAAGCAATAATAGATGGAGCAGCAGATATCTAAGAGAGACTTTCCCTGAGTTGATTCAGAAAGGCAGGTCACAAAACTAATGAATCAACCAACCAACCCTTGGACTCCCCTACCTCTCTATGAACAGGAAAGAAGGTGCCAAGAAACTGGTCAGAGCAGATTCCGTGAGTGAGCTTCCCGCTCCAAGGAGGCTGCGGTGGAAATGTTCGCCCGAAATTCAGAACCACTTGGCTTCTTCTGCGGAAAAACTGGAAAGGTACAACGATTTCACTGGGTGGTTCAACTTCATGCAGAGATCATATTAGGGCTTCAGGTTCTGGAGGATTAATCTGAGGAGCACAATAAATATACAGTGGGGGGGTCATTAATTGATTGTGGGGGGAGATACTGGTGGAGTAAAGAGCTAAAAGCAGAGTTGTTGCTGGTGGAAGAAAGTGCAGAAAAACATGTTATATGTGATGAAGGATTTCCTGCCTGCCTTTCTCTCATCCTTCCCCTCCTTCCTTCCTTCCTTCCTTCCTTCCTTCCTTCCTTCCTTCCTTCCTTCCTTCCTTCCTTCCTTCCTTCCTTCCTTCCTTCCTTCCTTTTCTTTTTATCTGTAGTTGTAATTCTATATTTTGTAACTCTGTATTGGCAAATGTAACATAGGCACTATAGGAAAAAATACTTTTGTGGTGACGTCTCATCAGGCGGCGTCAATGGTTTCATCTGTAGCTTCTCCTTTTAAAGCATCTGTTCTCTCTGGCTTGTCCCTAGAAGGACTGAAGAGTAGAAGCTCTTTTCTGCTGTTGGATATTTCAGTTATGTTGTCTTTTCCATTTGCCTGTTTTGCTTTTGCATTACATGCACCTTGGGGAAAATCCCAGCCTTGAAAAATGGCAAAGAAATATATTAAATGCCAGGGCTGTGCACAACCTTTGAAGCAAGGCAAATGTCCCTTGGAAAGCTCTGTGAGATAGATAAATACCTGGAAAAACATCCTTGCAGGGAACAAGACTGAGCCCCTTCAGGATTCGGCCCTGTCCTTCGCCAGGGCAGTGTCCTGTATATTATTGTCAGTGTGTTCCTGTTGGATGACTAATGACTCCAAACAAGAGGGGAAATAAACTGGATGTCAGTCTTTGCATTTTATGTAAATGTTTACCCTTTGTGGGTGCAGAAGGTGTTCTCTAATTGGTCTAAGTCTGGAGGTTGGAGAGATCATGGCCCTAGGAGGAAAAGTAACTCATTTGAATAGTAGTGTAGCCCATTTGAATCCAAGCCTTGGTGCTTTGCATAGGCTGGTGCTTCTGACTGTAAACCTGCTTCTCCTGAAATTCCACTCCCAGTGCTCAGAGGAAACACATTATAGCTCCTTCAATGGCACTAGACAATCCATCTGACGAACTGAGATTAATGCCTAAATGTCAAGTTTTTTACAGACACGATGCCGCCAATGCTTTGGATAGCTTGTCGGGAAAAGCATTTTTATTTTTTTTTAAAGATGATGAGAACTCCTCACTTTTATTCTTCTTCTTTCTTCTTTTCTAGACTGGTGAAAAATCTGGATTTTGTTGCTTATAAGTTTGAAAACTATGGGAAAGAATTTATCAAAAAACAGAAGATGAGTCCAGACGCCTACATCCAAGTAGCACTCCAGCTGGCTTTCTACCGGTATGTGAGGGAAATATATTGACCACTCAGATTTCAGTCCAGGCCAAATTGCCTGCTTTCTCTATCGCTTCCCTGAATGCAGATTATTTTGGCAAAGCTACACGTTACCCAGGAGTGACCAGCTGGGATGGAACGGAGAGCCTTTAACTTAAGCAGCCTCTAAGCCCCAGAGAGAACCTGGGCCTTAGAGTTGGCGTCCACATGTGACTCCCAGGATGGGGATTGATAAAGAACACAATGGAAGCATATTAGAGGCCAACGAATGATAAAGAAGCATATAATTCAGTAGCATAGAGGACAGCCTGCTGTCCACTTTGTGGTCAAAAGTCCACGCTGTTCAAAGGTTCCCTGCCTGGAATGAGAAAGTTCAGAGCAGGCCACCAATCTTCGGCATCTTCAGGTAGAGTTATGGAGAAGATCCTGAGATGTTGGTTTCTTCCCTGACTTGTTGTCTGAAAATTCAAGGTTTTTCTACCATGTCTTCCCACATGGGGTATTTGGAGGGATGGTTGAACTATCCTCCCATAGGAAACAAGCAAGCAAATCCTTCCCGGTCCAGATTGTCTTCTGGGTATCATAGAGATAAGTTGAATGGTTATTTTTCCCTCTCACACTCAAGGTGGTCAGCGCTGTGGTGAAAAGGAACCGAAGAAGGGGATCCAACATTTCCAGGGTCCAACCAAAGTATAACCTGATCCTAGGCCATCTTTTTGGGAAGGCCCACTTTATAAAGCTCTGTAACCCTGTCGGGTGATGCCACAGGATGGCATCTGATGATGCTGCAGCCACACAAATCCCACCACTTACACACTGGCTGCAGAACTCTTGACCTACCTTCAGAATCTGGGAAACAATGACTTTTGACTCCAACTCAGTTCCCACAATCTTCATAGCCCCCTCTGTAATTTTTTGGGTAACACAAATACATTTCAAGTGTTTTTTGCTTTTCATTTTCCATATAGGTTGTCATCCTACAATTTTCTTTTTAGTGAATGGTCATCCAAATACTAGCCAGGACTGATCCCACTTAGCTTTTCCAGTTCAACCAAAGGTTAACTAGGTGCTGCCATCTAATTGGAAGACCTTCTAAAGAGAGAATTCACCCTTGCAAAAGAGGACACACAGCCAGCCATTCCACACAGTCTGGATGCTTCCTTAGATGCTGGGCTTCTTAATTTTTGTATCTCTGATGAGAATTTGCTTTTGATTAAATGTAAGTTTACTTGCCACCCAGAGTCCCTTGTGGAGATGAACGGACATCCAAATCCAAATCAATTAAAGTATATTCTGTATAATAAGTCTTTACACTCCTCTAAGGATTCCACCACTTTTTAATCACAAAGTAATCAAGAACAGAGTTGTGATAACTGAGGCCCAAAATTCCAGGTGGCCATGAGATTCTTCCCAGAGTTAAAAATGAAATCCTAAACCCAATGGAAAAAAGCAATAGTAAAATAATGCCTGGATCAGGATGCTACTGTTTTTTTCTAGCTGTTTAGAGCTTCTATAATAAAGGGGATGATCCAAACAGGATTCTACTGTCGTTCCACTGTAGGATGAACATGAGGCTGGTTCCCACCTATGAAAGTGCTTCTCTTCGTCGCTATGAATGCGGGAGGGTAGACAACATCCGCTCCGCCACTCCTGAAGCATTATCGTTTGTAAAAGGAATGGTAGATAAGAAATCAGCTCTCCAGGTCTTTGACTCTTTGGCTTATACTTTGGGTTTATATATGCATTCCATCTCTATTCCTGTCTTTCCTCCGATCAAGTACCTAAGGCAGCTAAGGAAACAACTCTTCCACTGTTGGAGATGATCAATTATCTTACTCTACAAATGGTTTGAGGTAGATAGGTTGGGGGATGTTTTGTTTCTTTGCTTGTCCAGAAAGGACAGGTGTATAGACAGGAAAAGCAAGGAAGAGAAGAAATACCGGATTTTACAATGAATCCTTTGGTAGAGAGCAATCCTTGGTAGATGTCCAGTGATGGTGAGTTAAAAGCAATCCTATGCTAAGCTATACCCTCTTGGTAAGCTCAAATGAGGCTGTAACAAGTCACCTTAAGAGGTAGCTATAATGCACGTGTAGAATCAGTAGAAATGAGCATTGTTCAATCTTGGTTTTCGGCAGGTGCTTCAAAGCAAATGAGAAAATAAATAGCACTAGCCGGAACTCTTTAAAGCACCCATATCTATCTATCTCTGGGTTCTCATAGCAGCTGAGGAGAGCAGGCTGCAAGATGCAGCTGCTTTAAAAAGCTCCTGCATGCGGTGATCTACTCTTTTGCAGATCACACCAAGCCAATTCTTCAGCCACTGAAGCATGTAATGATTGATTTGTTACTATTAAAACTGTGTTCATTGCCCTGGATTCAGTTAAATTGAACCTGTAATCTTTGTGGCTTCTGGGGAAACTTTCAGATAAAGTGAGTGGAGATGTTAAGAATTGTAATCCATCAGATTTAGGGAGCACCATGTTGGGGAACGCAGCCATAAAGTAGGTTGGACGGAATAGCCTATCTCTGGACTATTCCAACTTTGTGTATGTTCTTTCTCCATGCCAATAACACAAGGCGAAATCAACATCTACAGTATACAAAGATGTAACTACTCAGCATTCTAGTATGTTAGCATTTTATTAGTTTACAGAATAAAATACAAAAACAAAGAGTAGGACACTCTTCGGGGGAAAGAGAGGGAGAAAAGGGGGAAAAAAGCATTGACTTCCGACTCCCTCTGTTGCAGTAGAATAAAGCATTGAACCTCAATTTTTTACTTTTACATAATAATGTAAGCTAGCCATTTATATAACCACAAATCAATCTAATCAGTAAAACCCACAGTCAATGTTTCATTTTTTTCCACCTCAAGCACAAAGTCCAGAAGTGGTTTCCAAGTAGAAACCAAAGTACTTATATTCCTTTCTTTGAACTAAACGGTCACCTAGTCGTCTCTGTCAGCTCCATCAGCTTCTGTACAAACTATTCAGCATTCCAACCTTTTTCTCTATTTTTCTTGAAGACTGACGCTTAACTATGCATTTTCAAACTGATTTTGGTAAAATGTTTTAACCAAAGTATTGCAACATTTGAAATAAAAGGGCAAATGTTGTTTTAAACTTGCATTCTAGTTTAGGATCAGTTCTACTCCCAGGGTAGACTTCCTAATGCATCTGTATTAAAGGAATTAATCCCTGAATTAAAAGTAACGGGATTGCCCACATGGATATATATGTTTAGAAAATCTCTCTGTTCTTTTTTGTCTACAGAATTCTGAAAAAATGCAGCTTTTTAAGAGTGCAATAACAGCTCAAACCAATTACACTATTTTGGTAAGCATCTACTATATGAAAAAATAGTTCATTACTAAAAAAAATGGTATCCTAATGATGTTGATGACTATGAAATACAAGTACTTCATTTTCCAGAAATCAGAGGCTGAAATAGAATTGTTTTGTTTATTTTCAACTTTATGTCTGGTATAAAATTTGTTGTACTGTAAATATTTCATGTGCAATCTGTTGCTTGCTACTCAACTACGCAGCTACTAAGGGTAGCCAAGCTATACTTCAGTGCTGCCATCTAATGGCCATTGAGACTTTTGCATCCCAGATCTGGTAGCCTTATTTTAAATCTTAATATGGTCTTCAGACTAAAAAAATAATAATAATAATCCAAATTTCCACCCCCAAAATCTCTGTATGTTGAAGTCATGTTGAGACCAAGAAGCCATCTAGAATTTCCATTGAAAGCCAAATGTTGGATCCTGTGAGGCTTGAATTTCTGGAAATACATTTATAGTTAGTTAGGGCAGGGGTCCCCAACCACCGGTCCGTGGACCGGTACCGGTCCGCGGAACAAGTCCTACCGGGCCACTGGTTGCTGGGCGCCGCCATCTTTTTTTGATGAAAAAGTGCTTCCGGTGAGCTTT